GTAGAATGATAACCGAGGAGTGTTTGAAAAAAAACAATGTGAGTGCCAAAAATGTAATTTTCTAGAAGAAAGAGGAAACACTGCTATCGTCAAACTATTAACAAATTTTGATATGTAACTAAGACTGCAATGGCTTAAAAACATAACAAAGTTTTCTATTACATACAACAATGATACACGAATTCATGCAAAAAAGAATTGTTTTCAGAGAAAAGCCTGTATGTGCCACATCTTAAATGTTGAAAGAACCGAGAATACCATTTCTTGAAATCTGCAAGCAGTGTAAGTGCTTCAGCTGCGACGGGCATACAGACAACGTCAGCTATTGGCATTATTTATAACTATTTATTAAAAAGTATTGTACTTAAAAGGTGCACTATCGTATTTCCATTTACCTACAGAATATTTTGTCAATTTTGGCACTCCTCAATTGTGTTCTGAATGCAAGTCAGAAGAAAGGTGTCGCAGAATCTCGGCGATTGTACGGCCGGGTTCAGCTCCTCGAAAGCGGAGCCCGGAAACGAAATACGAGGAAAACAGGGTGTTCCAGATGGCCAGACGCACTAAACGCCCGAGAGCTGATCCGTTGTGCGGGGTCAGGAGTGATTTTTCGCAATCAATAACTTCGATGTTTACGCGCTGTTTCCTCCGTCGTTCGCGAGAGCATGGACGGCGGCTCGTCCAGCTGGCCGGCTGGCGTTGTAATTACATTTGCACCGGCTTTACAGCCGATTCCTCGCGGAAACCGGCCGCGATCGATCGCGACGGAATAATTTTACAAACGACCCTGCCCAGCGTATCCCGCGAGCCAAACAAAAGCAGGAAGGTGGGCTGCCGACGCGACGGCCGAGTTATTATTAATTTTCCGAGCTGGTTCAATTAAATCGGCGTCTCGGGGACCGCGGAAAGTTACCCGGCCTGCACCCGTCGTATCCCGTAACTCGTCCACCGCGGCGCTCCTCCTTTTTCCATTCGACGGCCACCTTCCGTTTTTCTGCCGATGCATCTGGCGCTTTACGGCCCGCAGTTTATTGCGGACGGGCCGCGCGGAGCTTTTTGCCCGATTGATCTCGAAGCCAGGCGGTTCGAGAAGTTTAGACCCCTCGACCACTCTCGCGACTGATGAGACACTGTCACGCTTTTTGCGCGATATACTTCTGCCCGGTCTCGAAACAGTAGTTCATCAGGATTCTATGACCGCGATCGTACGTTATCCGGTCCCTTTAGCGATACATAATCGTGCCCCGTCCCGCGATCCTTCTTCCGCCAAAAGAATTCTCATTGCGGCGGGTTCCGAGCCTCGCCCGAGGGGCTCCCTTAATAACTCCGCAAACCTAGTTAACTCTCGACACATTCCCCGAGCCGTCAGGTTTTTTCGTGGCGCGGCCGTGGACAAGGTTGCGCCGCACGATGTTGCACGAACGCATTTTATCGATTGGCTCGACGATAAACGGAAGCAATATTACTGGCAAACGATGGGAACTTTTATGTAGACGAGCTTTATTAGCGCAATTAAAAAGAAGCGCCGCAACTGCCGTCGTTAAATATTATAGACACTCGCCCGTTTTTCTGTCTTCCCTGCCGTGTAAATTTCTTTCCCGGCTAAATATAAGGTGTTTTTCCTCTGGACACTTTCTTCGTCTCTTAGCACTTCGAGCGTTCCAACGATTTTAACTTCTAACGACAAGCTCTTGAGGAACTGAAATTTTGTTCGGACAAGAAACGAGCGATCGAAAGTGTTCGCCAATTGATTTACCTTGACTTGTTCTATCGGGTATCCTTCGTACTTGCGCTCATGTCGAGAGAAGCGTGTTAACAGCTTTTCAAACGGAATGACCTTTCTTCAAATTGGTCCAAACCACCTGAATTTTTTTTGGAATGTCAGACCGACTGGTTTTTGATGATAAAAAGATTAAAACATGATGATCTTTCAACTTTACGTGTAGTCGTCTTATATTTAGTATTTTTTGTAATAATTCTACTTATGCTTTTCAAGCGGAATGACTTTTTTCAAATTGGTCCAAACCACCTGAATGTTTTTTGGAGTGTTAGACCGACGATTTTTTTTTTCAACTTTACATGTAGTCGTCTTACATTTAGTATTTTTTGTAATAATTCTACTTATGCGTATCGGTTAAATTATTTGTGTAAACCAAACGGTGAATAGTAAATAAATAGATGTAAATAATAAATGAATAAGTCGAAAACTTGGGTCCTCGAACTTGCCTGGACCAGAAGGGTTCGCCAAGCGACTCGAAAAATGCTTGGATACCCGGCAACAGTATGTTGCTAGGATTCTAGCAGTCGCAAATCTGGAGCATTGTAGTAGATTTTGAATAGACAGCGGCTCAGAGGCGAGGTCGCTTTCAGACCCTCGTCAAGCGATCGCCGTTCCTCCAGTTTCCCTAATACTATACGTTTCAGAAGTCCCCCGATCCTCTTTCAGATCAGCCGGGCACAGGCGGGCGACAGGCTCACTCCCCCGCTCGTCGGACGCCGCGCTTTTAGAAATGCATTTAAACTTCCGCTTGGCTGTACCCTCCCCCTGCGTCAGAACGCGTTTCCACGTTCTCTTTCTCCCTCGCGGTTGTCGCGTCTAGACGCTTGGCCCTGTCTGGATCGGGGAAAAAGCTGCGGGCGTGTCGAGATCGCGACTCGGAAATGTCCGCGTCGCGATTCCGGTTACTTGAACCTTCTTACGCCCCGGTGAACGAATATGACGGGCCCCGTCGTCCATCTTCTCCTGGATACGCGGACAAATTGATACAAGTGCCCGGACACGAATTGGAACCTCCGGACGAAGTTTGATTCGGACCGGGCGCGTTTTATTGGCTCGCCGAACCGCTGCACAGTCGCCTGGAAACCAGACTATTTAGCTAATCGATTCTTTTGATTAGAAGATCGATCCTTCGAGTTGATTCTTCGGTACTTGATTTTCTTCAGAATCGATTCTTTCGTTTAAGGTTGTGTAAGGATGTGTAGGTTTTGTAGGTCTTCTATATTTTCCAACGTTTTATGGCGGTTCTTACGAAACCTGTTTTCACGCCAATTCTATGGTTTCGATATTTTGTTTACTTTTTTTTTCTATGGAAGGATTGATTGTCTTATGACAATCATTCTTATGACAATTCTTTTTCTCGTGTTTCGATTTTTACAAGAATCGACTGCTACAACTTAAGAATCGATTTACCAAAAAAGATATTCCCTAAAATCCAAAATATTGAAGATAAAATTCAGAAATTCAAAGCGATAGGTTTGACTCAATGTTTTGTATGTATTGTTAGGCGTATTTCTATAATTTTGCAATATTTGTAATACTTTAAATGAATTATTCAAAGTTATAGGCACGAGTTGATCACTATACATTCATTTACACTATGTTTTCCAACAAACTCGAATTTACAAAGTAACAAAAAAATATTTTTTTTAATAAAAATTTAGGGTCGTTAATATATATGTTTGACTTCAGAACAATCTAGCCGGTGTCGAGAAAAATCTTGAAATTTTGAAATAACGCTAAATTCGTTTCTTTCGACCTTTTCTTGTGTCAAAGTTGCCAATGTTTTTCTAGCACAGAAGCAGCATTTGTTTGTCAGATATTTGGATTTCGCTTTTCAATGATATATCGCTAAACGCTCTACATGCGATTTGCCTCGCGACATGTCTCGTGACAAGCGATGAATTTGAGTCCTTTTTATTTTTGCACAATAACGCAACCAGGTCCCATGCGAGGCCGTGAATCAAATCCATCGCTTGTCAGTTAACGTTGCGACGAATAGTTGAAACTTGTTGGACAGTGTAATGTTATTTCAACTGGCTGTCGTTTTCGAAAGAAGAATGCTGTAAGCAGTCTACAATTTTTATATTAGATTCGTCCTAATAGATCATTCTCGTGTATATACTTGATGCTGTTCAACATCCTTCAACGTTCAAAAACTATTTTATCATTAGGCTTGTGGAACCTGTCAAAATGATTTTGTTGTCGCAATTATTTTTTCAATATACATATGTGTTACTCGTAGCAAATATAACAATAACATTCGTTAAAAATCATAATAAATGTCTTATTGCTGCTTTCATAAATTAATATGAAATAGCTGCCTTTTGTGTTTCTAAGTTAATCTAGTGTTAAACATTGTCAGCATTAGTCTGAAATGAAACGAAGGTTCTAAAAGAATCTAATGCATCTAATGCAATTTAATGCAAATATAACAATAACATTCGTTAAAAATCATAATAAATGTCATATTGCTACTTTCATAAATTANTCATTCTCGTGTATATACTTGATGCTGTTCAACATCCTTCAACGTTCAAAAACTATTTTATCATTAGGCTTGTGGAACCTGTCAAAATGATTTTGTTGTCGCAATTATTTTTTCAATATACATATGTGTTACTCGTAGCAAATATAACAATAACATTCGTTAAAAATCATAATAAATGTCTTATTGCTGCTTTCATAAATTAATATGAAATAGCTGCCTTTTGTGTTTCTAAGTTAATCTAGTGTTAAACATTGTCAGCATTAGTCTGAAATGAAACGAAGGTTCTAAAAGAATCTAATGCATCTAATGCAATTTAATGCAAATATAACAATAACATTCGTTAAAAATCATAATAAATGTCTTATTGCTGCTTTCATAAATTAATATGAAACAGCTGCCTGTTGCGTTCCGTAAATTTAATGTTAAACATTGTCGGCATTAGTCTGAAATGAAACGAAGTTTCTAAAAGAATCTAATGCATCTAATGCAATCTAATGCAAATATAACAATAACATTCGTTAAAAATCATAATAAATGTCATATTGCTACTTTCATAAATTAATATAAAACAGCTATCTTTTGTGTTTCTAAGTTAATCTAGTGTTAAACATTGTCAGCATTAGTCTGAAATGAAACGAAGATTCTAAAAGAATCTGACGCATTGGTTGTCAAATCCGTTTCGTCGAAGCTCTTTACGTCGGTCTAACGAATTGCTCGGATTTTCTGTTTCAGATGTGAACTGTTGCCAGAAGTATTATCGATTCGCATTACGTATGAAGTAATTGGAAATCGCAGTGGGCAAGGTGAGCATTCCGCATCGTGTTTGCCTGTTTTTTTCCGGACCGCGGGAGCTCGGCAGCGACCAAGAATCGCTTCCAGTTGCACGAGCTGGCAAAACTTCGGGGATTTTGCATGAGATTTCGTCGCGTCGGTGGCCGTGCTCGAGATACCGCGTTAATATTTCAAGACGGCGAGATCAAAGGGACGAGATACAGGGTTCCTGATATTTTCGAGCCGTTTCAAAGGCGGGAACTCGAAGTAACTCGACTCGTTTAGCGTTCTACGCCGGCGGACGCGGTGTAACTTGCTCTTCTATTAATTTCTTCCGGGACTTTCCTTAACTGAACCGTTCAGAGATTTCAATTTGGCCAGAAACTGTTCTTGCTCCGTTTTCGCGCGCACTGCCGTCCAGAAGCATCTGGATACTTCGGAAGTTTCTGATAGCACAGATAGGATCTTCATTCTCGTCGACGCATTCAATTATTTTCTTGTTTAGACCGCGGATTTTGCAGCGAACACAATAGCATGTAATAATACATCAATGTTCATATTTGAAACGTTTGTTTGCGCGTGGCTTTAATTATTCAGTTTTATTGGCATTATTTTACTCGTCATTGCAAGATAAAAAAGGCAATGTTTCGTTTGAGATATTTATTGGGTTCGGTGTCATGCTTTATCGATTCTACTGTTTGCTGTCTGATTTTTCAGCGCTTTACTTCCGAATTAATAACCGATGATAAAACGTAATCTCGTATTTCATGCGAACGAATGAACGAACAATTGTTTATGGGCGGCAGTGTGCAACTAATGACAGTAATGCATACATACCGTAATGCGTGGAAACGATATCGTGTGAATGTTTGTATCGATTTTGGATCTTTTGTTGCAGGATTCCCGGCTGCCGCGACGTTTCTCTCTACTTATTATCAAGAAGTATTTCTTACTATCGCAATGTACTCCGTAACACGGTGTCCAAACTAAAGTAAACGGTTATTCGTATTTTTGAGAATCGTGATAGCTTCGTAGTGTGCAAATGTAATTAGGGCAAAACTAAGAGGAAGAAAAACGAAACACATTAAAAAAAAAAATACAAAGCAAGACAAGGTCGGCGGAAGAAAAACGGAAAAGAACGAAAAAAAAACGAAGAACGAAAGAAATAAAAAAAAAAAGATACTCAAGAAGCGTAATGGAAAAGAATGGCGGACACACGTTCGAAACGTTACACGTACATAGACACAGACACAGAGCTACAGAAAACGCGGCGGACAAGCACATAGCACAGAGGAACACGACACACACCGAGCATACTACCTTTATTAACTCGTAATTGCAACGAAGTAACAAGTTTTCTCTCTTTCTACTCGACACGATAGTTTAATCCAATGATCGACTATTAAAAAATTGCGAAAGATTAAATTAAAACGGGGAGAGATATCGCCTCCCCGGGCGAAAGATTGTCTCTTGTTTCGTCGGGCGGAGGTTATTTACTGTACATAGCGAGAGTTTTGTATATTTGTAAAATAGATAGGGCATTTTATTATAAACAATAAAGTTATTTATATATATTTTAATCACAACACGCTGAACGATCTCCTTTCTCCCGTCGTCATTTGAAACGCAGGATCGATCCAACGGCCACAATCGACCCGAACGAGGACTCGTGCACAACCGTGTACAAGTTTTATCGATGCGGTACGTATGAAAATGATTTTTCGTGGTAATCGTCCCCGGACGTTTATTCAAATTCACATTTCCACGGAGCACAGACTTTTCATTTCTGTCGCGCAATTTCATTCTGAATATTGGAACTTTCTGTCCTGTGATTTTTATTTTATTGTCTATGCATTAAATCATAAAAATTGATAAAACACAATTGCGACGTGAAAATTCCGTTCCATCTACAAAACAATCATTGCCGGTCAAAGCTTTTCAGCATACACACCTGTATGCACGGCTATTATAACGTTGTCAGTATATTTTGGAACAGAATAGAACAGAATATTTGGATTTTACGATGCTTTTTTTTATTGGTAACTGTTCGCTAAATAACATGCGATTGCCTCAAACTTAATCTTGTTTCATATTTTACAAGTCAGACTTAATTGCTAAACGAATATGATGTGGAACATACTCATTTGTTCGTTCTTCCCTGGTTACAAAAATTCTTGTTATTCAACTATCTTCTTTCTTGAAAATCTTATTCACAGGAAAGTCTGTTCCGTTAACAAAAACATTCAAATCGAATAAAAATGCTATTAGTTCTTATTAATGCATGAGATGGAGATAACAGAGAAAATTAAACAAAATAGCATTAAAATGAATTTGTACGAAACTTTAAGCTAGCTCAACATCGAAATTAATCCCCCTAAAAGTAATCTGAAATTTTCTGAAATAATTGTGGGGAGCACATTTTCCACAGTGTGAGAAACAAGGAGTATTATTATTTGTTAACGTGTGCATTGTTTACTGACCAAAATTGTTAAGATAATTTAGAGTCAAGTTGATTCATGATAATTTTATAACTTATTTAACTTCTTTATTAAGCATTTTGGTATGTATAGATTACATTTTAAGACATAAGTGAAAGTTTTCGAAAATCGGAATCACACAATTATGATTCTACTCCACTCAATTGTACTAAGCGTTGAATTTCGGCAGACAGGTTGAGTACAAAAATCAATATAGCTGTTTATTTATCAGCTGATATATTTTAATCGCGAAGACATGCGACGATGTATTTTGTCTTTGTTTAACCGAATTGAATCGAGATAGTTAGCTCAGGAATCTCGTTAAATACATCATCCCCGTAATAAAATATAATGATTAAAAAGTTTCTAGAAGACAACCGTAATTCTTCCACAACCTGATATTTTAACATTAGGAAGATCGAGGATCACCGTTTTATGGAATACAAATGTTTGCACAATTGTCGCGTGATCTCGTAGAGACCGTGGCCGGGGGCGGTAGTTGGAATGCCACACGCGCCGGCAATTTGTTTGTTCCAAATTTCCACGGGCATTATTAATTCCCGGCCGCTATAGAGAGGCGCGGCCGCGCGGCAATGTCCATTACATTAACTTGATTGAGAAACATCGGGCAACAAGTGCGCGCGTATTACCGATCGGGCAAATGAAATTCGTATCACGCGGCCGTCAACACCATTCCCCGGATATTTTTTAGGCCCGGCAACGGGCAGTCGCGCCATCAATGCGATTCCACGGTCGCGCCGCGCCGGGAAAATAATTATTTTTCGATGCCGGTGACGCGTGATTTGGAAACAATTATCGGGTCGAGAACGTTCCGGTGAGTGACACGTCGAACGAACGCGCCCAAATAAACGCGGCCGAATAGAGGAGAAAATACGGCGACTAGTTTTCCCAAGGAGAGACATTTGCACGTAAATTGTCATGAAAATTTGATTTCGCGCCGAGAGAGAGAGAGAGAGAGAGAGAGAGAGGGGGGGGTCGCGGCCAAGAGCGACGCGGAACGCTGACTTCAATCAGCCTCCCTTATTCGATTTAAGCCTTACACATTTCCGCCGCGGAATGCGACGAAACGAAGTCACACTCTTGCCGGCAACAGCTAATTACTCGGAGCTCTGGTTCGCGCGCATAAACTCGGTACAACCGCGACTAAAAAGCAAACTCGCGTTCAAGTCGCTCCCTCGGCTTCTACGATTCCCAGCGCTGGGATCTTCGTTCTTCTACCAGCCAGCTTGTAATTTCCAACTGGCTTGGACATGATTCAATTTAATATATTTCCAACGCCGCAGTCGAATAATATATCTCTCTAACGTCGTATTAACTTGTAACAGCTTCATGCTATTACGACGAGTCATACATAACTTCCGTTTCTTTGTCGGACGTCTATTTTGATTTTGTTTATTCATTTCTTTTTTTCTTACTTTCTATTTCATCGATTTCGATCCCTTGTCTGTTTTGCGAAAGCAAAACCTCGTTTGTCCCGGTGATTGTCTTCATAGCGATTCAATAGATCGCATCGGAAATTATTTATGACACGACTTAATATTTTCAGGCAATTGTGCGTCTGTTTCCACGTTTGGCCGGCAAACGAAATTACTTGCTTTCTATTTTTAAGACCACGCTGCCTGCCAGGCATTAAGAAAATGATTCTACGGTCGACAGATCCGCGGAGAGATTGATCCAGCGTATCCGCGGAGCAGCAAAATGAAAGCGAAAAAGCTGGAACTAATAACGGGGAACACGTTTTCGATTAAATCATTCTGCAAGTTCCTTAAGGGTGCAATGAAATTGGTATAGAAGAACGTCAATTACAGGCGACTCGAACCCGCCATAAACTCTGCATCTCAATTAACATTCCGCGGGAACGAGAAGCGTAATGAGCCACGACGAACCGGGTCAATTTTTGCAATTATTATATCGGCAAATCAACCGGCAGATTATGGAACGTCAGCGGGGAGATAGCGGCGGTGACTTATGCAGGAGATACGGGCCGCATTGTTAAACGAGATCCTGCGGACTGCCGCTTCTTCGTCGTGGCCGTCGAAATGGCCGCCGGCTGCGCAAAATATCGAACAGTCGGTCAAAGGTTAAGGTAATTCGAACAAGAGACGCTCTAATTGCTGCGGATATTTCCGACGGGATCCCGGCTGCAGAATCCCGTAATTATAAATATAATTCGATCGTTAGGAGGTTGAAGTGCCATCGCCGGTGACCGGAGGGGGCGGGATTCGACCGGGGTGGGGACAAAGAATTAAGCGTAACGAGGTTTCCCGGCGGGACCTGTTATTACGGCGGCGATGCACTCGGCGACTTCTCGTAATTTTCCGAGTCGCGCGGTCCACGGCGAATAATTATAAAAGTGGGACCCGGGCTGCCTTTACGGATGTGCAAGCAGCTTTCAGCAAAGCCCGTGTAATTACTGCGCCCAAGAACTACCCTTTATGACATGTGGCAAGTGCGCGCGAGTGCCGCCTCGCTACGCCTCGCTCTGTCTCGCTTTGCCTCGCCTCTGCCTCGCGCGGTCTCCGCGAGCACGCCATAAAAGATAGCTCGGCGATACGGAGCTGCGATTCAGCCTGACTCCCGGAGATATATTAACCTATATTTCAAGAAAACGCCCCGCAAGCCTGGCTCAACCTCCGAAGCGAAATTCGACGAAGTCCACTGTTTACCGTGACAAAGTAGTCGCGACTAGGCTCCTCTATTTTTCCACCGCTAAATAATTGGCTGCCGCTGCTCTAAGTCTGGGCACGAAGTCATACCAGAACGTCTATCTAAAACGGAAATGCGTTGAACAACTGTGCTTCACGGAAGCAGTTTCTTTGCTACCTTTGGCACTGGCAGCTCGGGCTTGCAATCTAGGAAAGTAAAAAGAGGTGTTTACAAATCTTAATGTTAAAATATGTAAAATATTTATATTTTAATGTGAAATAATATGTAAAATAATTAATGTAAATTATTTATAATTGTGGATTATATCGTCACAAAAAAACACAGTATTGGCAGGGGATTTTTTTTTAAAACTGACGCGTGTTTTTCCTATAATTCTTTAAAACTTTGTACATACAAGTGGCTTAGAATTATAATAGCGTAAGAAACACTTTACTCATGGTGAGAAGCAAGCAGAGTTATTTTTTACTGAACAAATTAAAATAATTCAGAGTTAAGTCAATTTATGGTAACTTTATAATTTCTTTCACTTGCCTTTTTAACATTTTGCCATATACAACCTTATATAACATTCATATGTACGTTGTCAAAGTACTCTGATATTTTTTAAGAGTATAATAAGCTGTATAGCAGGCATCTCTGTGGAAGGGAACGCAACACTCATCAAAAATATGTATCAAAGTCTCAGGTCGATAGCGTGTTAAACACGTCATGGAAAACTGTAAACATTCTCGATTTGTGCAAACCGAAAGAATGCTACGTTGAAAAAGTTTGCCTTGACGAAGTTCAGGAAGCTGCCACCTCGTTAAAACTGTCACAACTCATCTGTAGGATACAAATGAATAAAATCCGACGATCCGGCCGTGCGTTTGCGAGATCGCGTTTAAGCAACATCTTGGCGCCGATTGCTCGTCGCACGGTTCGCAGTGCTTGCTAATTGGACGGTATAATAACGACAAGAAATGTCCCCGGACGGTCTAATCAGTCGGAACAGGAAGGCGTTGCCGCGCCATTAA